TAGACCGTTAGACCGTTAGACCGTTAGACCGTTAGACCGTTAGACCTTTACACCTTTAGATCCATAGATCCATAGATCCATAGATCCTTAGATCCTTAGACCCTTAGAGCCTTAGACCCTTAGACCCTTAGACCCTTAGACCCTTAGACCTTTAGACCTTTAGACCCTTAGACCCTTAGACCTTTAGACCCTTAGACATGTGTATATGTAAACAGAGAAGAAGTATTTTGAAATCTGAATTTCTTTTGAATAAACTACTTCTGTAAAATTCATTTGACACTGTGCATCAAACCATTTTCCAAAATTTACTAAAAGTGTTCGTCGCGGATGACAGATATTAGGTAGATAAAACCAAAGTTTGGTCTCGTGGCCTTACCGTTCGCTGCCGTTGGTACGTAAGGTCGGCGGTTCAAATCCCAAGCCACTATTTTTTTTTAACATATAAGCTTTTTAATTTTAATATCGAAGCACGTGTAATTAAACTCTATCGCTGAGGTTATTAGGTACTTTTTGATATTGCCTTGGAGTTTGACCGTTAAAGTACTTTTCTATTTCAAACAAAAATGAAGGATATAAAGCGATGCTATTGGCATGTAATTTGTTTATTCCTCATGTTTATTAAACTTCTACCGGTAAAAATATCACGTTACCTTTTACTGATACTGATTATATTTACGAAACAAGGAAAAAAAAGTGAATGTCAATATCCAAACAACATCAAATTTTTGGTCGATTGCAATAAACATTCCAGTGTGCGTGGGCGCGCACACATATGTAGATAACACTTGCACGTATAGTTTCCGCGCATACCATTGATAAAACCCGCAATGACAATCCACGCTCCGCCCACTCACTTCACCCCGCGATGGTCTGACCTAATACTTGTTAACTTTATTTAAATTTCTTTCTACCCGACAGCGAAAATTATAAAATAAAAAAAAATTGTCGAGTAAAATTTTACATTACCAAATTTTTACTGGTTATGATAAAATAACCCTGTATAAGTGATTGATAAAATGAAAAAAAAAGTAGCCTGAGATTCGAACCGGTAAACTTACATTTTTTTTATATCATAAGGCGGCAAACGAGCGAGTTGCCACCTGAAATCGCTGAAGTAGCGAAGTGACCGTTGCCCATAGACATACGCAATTGCATATGCGTTACCTACCTTTAATCGACAGAGGAGAGGATGCACAGAAAGAAAATATTTTCTCTTTCCATGCATCCACTTCCACTTCCCATGCTTTCCTTATAAGAAAAGGGTGTTAAGGGAAAGAGGACTAAATTAGGCCTCCGAGACGCACACTCATCAGACGAAACGCGGAATTGCTCCCACTTCACGCCTGTTTTCTGTGTGGTGGTGGTCTTTCACCGGACGAACCTGGCCGATTCGTGCGAAGATGTTAAAGCGGGTTCTACCACTCTTAAAATACACATATTGCGGCAAACATACTAGGATACTGAGCCAAACTAGTATATACTGTGACAAGGCAAAATTTGATATTAGTTATTACGTATCTGTCATGTTCGGCGTGACAAACTTTTATATTTAAGCGTTATGACAGGAGAAGAAAAATATTGGGTTGCCCAGTAAGTTCATGCCGCTTTATAAGGAAAATTGAAACCCTGTTCTCGTAAATTTTTGGAAACATTTTTAAATTATATTGGTACGACTCTAAACCTAAAATGTCTTTTATATTTGGCCAAAAATTTAATAATTAGTATTTATCTCAACCAATGAAATGAAATTATACACAATATAGAAATTTTTGTGACGTTTGATAATGGTGGAAATCCGAAAATGAATCCACTTCAGCTACAGTCTATTGTAAGCTTCATATCGAAAATCGGAACGAACTTTCCGGACAACCTATAATGTTTATACAAAGTGTCAAATGAATGTAACAGAAGTAGTTTATTCCAAATTGTATCACAAGTATATAGAGATAGAGTTCAATTTTGTCAAATGTTACGATCTTTTTGCGCACCTTGACTGCTGCTACGATATTTATAGGCACCTTGCAAGTACTCATATATTTGACGCTGTGTATGTACCGATGTATTTGAGCAGGGTGAATGTGTCTATTAATTTGAGGACTTTTGTTGTACCGATATAATTGATTACTTTTGGTGTACCTATATATTTGCATATCTTGTCTGTTACGATCTATATGACGCTGACTGTACCTATCCGCCATTAGCTACGATGACCTTCAAATACGCACACATAATATCAATCATCATTGGCTTTCAAATACATTTTCAAACAATATTACAATATAGAAATCAGTAGTATTTTAAAATACCTAGTTTGTTTTAAATCGCACTGCGGCAATACATTATAAATAAGCGAAAAAAAAACAATAAATATATGTACCCTAACGTTACTTTATTAAATTCAAATTTCATTATATTTTACTGAATAATATTGAAAAGATAATAACTTGTTAGTGTACTTAATAAATTGGAATAACAAAGCCTAATAATGAAAGCAGAAATAAGCGTAGAAATTTCAATTAACTATTCAAACATTCGTTTGAACGATATGTTTCAATATATTTAAACAACTGTAAGATGTTTTTGGAAAATAATGTAGAAATTACTCGTTCAGTTAAAGTTGTGGCGTTATACGAAGATGAGAATTTTTATTTTTCTAATTTTCTTTGTTTACAGCGCATACTGCGAACGTAAGTGGCAATCATTTTTTTTGTTATATTCTTAGTCAATTATTGTAACTATATAATATTAGTATAGTTTTGAAATCCAGATATCCGTAAATATTATTTGACCGAATTAACCGTGAACTTTTTTGCATCCTATGGTAAATAAAAAAAAAGCATAATCACAGTACTACACAGTACTATTTATAAATTTTATCAAATAGCAAGTTATTGGCGTAATTGTATTTGATATGTTTCCATAGGCGTCGAATTAACATGTGAACAAATTCGTGCTTTCGTGGACGGACATAACAATCGTAGGCTTAAAGTTGCCAAAGGATTAGTTCCTGGACAACCCGCCGCTTCTAATATGGAATTTATGGTATGTGAAAAAAAACATTTTCTATCATAATATAAAATACTTATTATTAATTTACCCTTATGATGTAGGTGTGGGACGATGAACTTGCGGAAAAGGCATCTAAATGGGCAGAAAGGAACGAATTTAAACACAATCCTGATAGGACTATCGGTACGTATTCCGTATCAAAATTTTTAACAAATTTAATCGTTTATAAGAAAATAAAACTTTAACAATTTGTATTTTAAGATTCAAACAGATGGAGTTTAATCGGTGAGAATATTTACGTATACAACTATTATTCGAATATGGGAGATGAACCAAAGATTGATATAGAGAATGCTTTGAACAACTGGTTTCAAGAACATAAATTCTATAACTTCGTGCCTTTCTTTTTAACTTCAATCAACCCTTTCGGTCATTATACACAGGTAAGATAAAGAAAGTATTAGAAAACATACAAACGTATAGCAATTGAATAAATTTAATTTTGTAAATACCTACGTGTGTTAGCTTTTTTTTCATCTTATCCATGTTAAATTTTCCGTTTATTTTTATTGATTTATTTCACTATTATTCATTACCAATGTTTTATTTATAAATTTTAGATGGTTTGGTCAAATACGAATCGTATTGGATGCGGTATTTCACAAATTAAAGAACACAATCATATCAGAATGCTATTTGTTTGTGATTATGGCCCAACGTAAGTGTATATGACTTTTTTATGTATTATTTACTATGCTTTAATTTTTTTATTAAGTAGTGTTTTTAATATTCTCCTTGGACTCACTTATAAAGAGGAGTAAAATAAAGACTGTAATATGCTGTCCTGTATTAAATACATATATGAAAACATGTTGACATATTATTTTTCAGTGGTAATTACTTCGAACAAAAGCCTTATAAAACTAACGGACCTATAGAACAACTTCTATGCAGAGATGGCAAATGCGACAAGCCTTACGGCCCAAATTGCTAAGAAGATATCATGAAATAATATTTAATTCATTTATACGAGTAATTCATATATATCTTGGTATAAAAATGCAATTCTTATAAATTTGTTAATATTTTTGTGAATTGTAATATTTTTAATAAATTTAACGTATTTTTCAATAGATGATGTTTTCAGTTTTTTAAGCTTCTTGTAAAAATAGGTAAGGTTACGTAATGCAATCTAGAATAGAATAGAGGACATTGTTCTATCTTTAAAAAATAAGAACAAAAATACAAGTATAAAATCCTTTTTACGTGACTTAACATCGTAAAAGTAATTTAATAAAAAAATTAATGAGTGCAGGCAACTCCCGAGCCGTAGTTTCGCAAAGCTAAATGAATTACTTAAAGCGATACTGGGAAGTGCGAGAAGAGGGAATAAAAATTCTTTACCGACTGAAAATGCAAGGTAAATTTTACTAAAACAGAATCTGCTGATAAGATTTATTCTGCCATTTGAATTGAGTTATACAGACATAAATATGAAATAAAAAAAACATATAAAGAAAGAAATCTTACTACTTACTAATACTATAAACGCAAAAGTTTAGACTGATGGATGTATGTTTGTTAGAACGAGCTACACGGATCACGCTGAAATTTGGCAAATATGTAAAACGTAGCTTATAAGAACACATAAGTTATTAAGATATTTTTAATTTCGCACGGAAAGAGTCAAATCGACAGTTTAAACTTAGTCATATAAAAAATACGCGTCCTAAGTCCAAAACAGCTAAATAATTTAGTAGCTACTATTATAAGGTTATTTTATATCGACTTCTAAATTTGGAGGTATTATATAATATTTTCTTTACATTTAACTAAACACAATTTTTATCTAGGTAAAAGTTTATTCTAGATATGGTACGGGGAAATCCAAGCTAAGAGCTGTCATTTAGGTAATAGGCTTTTAGCTGAACTGTCATACCTTGTGTGCTATATTTAGAAATCATACTGTTATATCCGAGACGTATAATTCTTTCTAAATTTAATACAATTTTCATAACATATTTATTATTTAAAGCTGGAATTATGGAAGATAGTAATTCTTCAAAACAACGTATTAAAAACATCTGCGCTGTCAGTTCTTAATGAAGCAGCTTGAAAACAAAATAACTTCTTATCGTTCTTATACTTTAGACCCCAGTTAAGATTAATCTCCCTATTTTTAATAAATATTTCCTTCATTGGTAAACAATGATTAAAAAAGGTTATTTGTATTTACTGTCCAATGTTTTTAACCGATGCCCCATCTATACGAAAATTTCTAGTTTCAGTTCTTTTTTATTAGTAACTATTCTTTCGTCATACAAATATATTTGCTAAATCTACAGATCGTAATGTTACCACAGTGATGACATAATGGCGTGCAATGTGCCATCTCTAGTACGGTACCCAGATGTCCTACGTGACAATATCAAGAAACCGTCCGGAATTACACCGGCTGAATACCAAATTACAATTTATAAGCTAGGAACAGATTTCCTTCACAATGCACATTTATGTAACTGAAAACTGTTGCATTTAAGAATTAAATATATTCCAGCTTGGTACCTTCACGCGTTCCTAAGAAAAAAGGACTTTATAGATAGACTGACCGACGGACTACAAAGTGATCCAATAAAGATTTCGTTTTTTTCCTTTCGAGGTACGGAATGTTAAAAATGACAAAAACAATATAATTTAGAGACATTGATTTAAAATTAAACATATTCATATAAAGGTTTAACGTAGTTGGATTGTTCGTAAAGTTAAACAATACTAATTGAATTTCAGTGTTTTGTGATTTTCTCGTGTTTCGTATTTCAATGTAAATGGCAAATTCAAATTGATGGATGGCATAATAGTGTTGTTAGGTGCATCAGTCTTCTACTGCTCATAATCTGATTGTATATCAGACATAGTAACGAAGTTCCTCATAAATACACATATTAAATATGACCTGCATTATCTGCCGCACTCACAGTCGAATGGCAGTTCCTCATTGTAGATTTTGCTTTTATCGGACGTAATTTATAGTCTGAAATAGGATTGTGTAAATGTAAAATTCTTTCCCTTGTAAAACTATGTGCAAGAATCAAGATAAAACTTTACACAAAGTTAAACTTCAAATAGCACAAGGAAAAGTTAGAAACAATCCGCTCGGCTTAGCTTTGATGTACACGTGTCTAGAAATAAGCCGGATTCGAGAGCAATTAGTGTTCAGACTGGTTATTTTTATTGTTTCATATTTGATGTTAATTTTTAGTAAGGATATTTTTTCTCTATATATAATGAGTATATATAGAATAAATGTGTGTAAAAAATTGTTTTATTGTTATTTAAAGTTTAAGTTGAAACTAAGAGTTTTTGTAGTGTAAAGAGTCGACGCTAAATTTCCAAGGGTAAACTTATTTGTCCTGTAGCTCGTACGCGCTATGTCCTTTGTAACAAAACTTTACGGTTCACGGCTTTATTTATTTTTGAACACCCTTTGTACCCTTTTCTATTTAGAATTGTAAACATCCCTTTTGCTGTTTAAATCGGCTTGCAATAAATATGTAGTTGGTAATAGAAAATCTTTTATATAAATGAAAAATATAAACTAAGACAGCCCGTCTTAAAGGAGCCTTCAAAAATGGTAGTCCTAACATGTGCATTTAATTTTTTTCAGTTTCATTTGTCAATGACAGATCGTGTCACGTCATGAATTGGTAGGTCCATCGGCCCAATGGGAAACACTCGAGCTACGCACGTTATTCGCTATTTATTAGTCAGGTTTATATGCTAAGTTTGATTCGCATGGGTTCTTTTGTATTCGAGAATATTTTTACATATATTTTTCACAGTTTAAATTCAAGTTTAAAACACGAGCATTTGAATCCCGAGCAAATGCAGAAACATTCTTGTGCAAACTTCGCCCGCCTCGCAAGCCCACACTGTTTGAATGTGGCTGCACATCCTATGTAAAGTTTGCAAATCGTTTTCAGACCATACAATTTTTTTAGGATCAAAATGTATGAATTGAACTCTTTGTTCGAATGTTAAATGATAAACTTTTGTGAAACGAAATAATACTTTTTGTTTGGAAATGGAATAGAATGAGATTTTTTTTTAGTTGAAATACTTATTCTATTCAAAATCAGAACGAATAATTATTATTAATAATTCATTCCATAATACGAGAAAACGAGACGGTAAGCTTACAATGTTTCTTCATAGAATTTCACACCTTTTAATTTGCGGATAGTAAGTCATATAACATGCGTAACTTGAATCAAGTTATCTGCAAAATTATACTTTAATTTTAAAGAATTGAAACAAGTTACTCTAATAGGGAACAATTACTTAAAGAGCATTCGTTGCTTAGTTTATAATCGGATCAGTTTGAGAATCCCGCTAGGAAATTGGTTCAGTCGACGGAAGCTAAGCCCGATGCACTCCACGTAACACGGCGCAATGCAGTGCAGCTACGAACGTTTACTTTTCGACTGAGATAAAACCTAATTTATAACAATTCAAAGATAACTAATTGGACAATAACTCTGTTACATAAAAGACATACCTTCATTTATGAGAAAACAATCGATTTCATTACACTACGTTCTTTAATTCACAGCGTTCGAAAATCAGACGGCTTGGGGATGCGTCATTTTTGAAATGGTGTCTATTCACAGGTCGACGCAGCGTATGTATACCTCTCATAAGATTAACTGCTAAAATGGTCAAGGCTTCGAAATGCACCGCTAGAGGTAGACTACGAATTATTATGACAATTGGAGACAGCTTATGGTTACTAATCATCTATACATTTTGATATGTGCAAATTTTAAGTTAAAAAATATACGATTTTTTTATTCACAACTCTGTTTTGCATCACCACATTCCATTCAACATGCAACATCTTTTGAATTGTCTTCAAAAACATTTCCTAAATCTTTCACATTCACGAAAAATATAAAGCATGTTGCTTATCTTCATTTGTTCTTTTGATATTCTTTAACATTTTATTACTTACTTGATTAATAAGGAAATAACTACCATAAAACATAAATAACTTATCTACATCTTATTATGCATTGTTTTCATATTATATACTAACTAAGATTCTGTAGTTAAAATAAAGCTCATTAGGATCATATATAACGAAATACGTAAATAAATTATCCTGATCGAAATACGCAAAAAATGTCACACAACGATCCAAAATCCATTTTTAAAATTTTTATTAACTTTAAAGCTTTTAGCAGCACTTTCTTGCTGCATAGCCTGGATGATTTTTGAATTATTCATGCAAAAACCTTTCAGAGAGTTAAGTTAAAAATTATACTAAATCGAACGTAATAGAAATCGGTGAATTTTCCGTTAAACAATTTGCGCTAACATTTCTTTTGTTCAATCAAATTACGATACTAATTATAATCATGTTGCATACTTTCAAATTAACATGACAACTAATTAAATTATTACATTAGCGACCAAAATATGATATATGTTCGATTTAAAAGCGGATTAATTTACGGTCTGGTAATTATTATTGAAATCGGGCGATTCCAGATTATTAATGCATGCATTTGTTATTTAATTTCGAATAGTTCGACCTTTAATGTATTTATTCGTGTTAAATACTTGCGTTAATGATTCTGGTACACATGCATAATTTTTCCTACGCCATATTTTACTTTAAAAATATTTGTCTGTATAGTCTGCTATATGTTCTTTTAGATAAGAGGAATTGCTACACATCTTATCAGGGGCATTTACGAATTATGTCAAACTTGCGTAAACTAAAGGTACCTCCCGGATATGTTGACGGGTTACGGAAATTCTTGTGAACATGCGTTCTCATAAAGCGGCAAACAAGCGCCATCCTTTGCGGAGAAAGAATTCCTACTTCCTACAGATAAGTACGTCTTTGTAATACGCAATTTATAATCGTATTAGTTAAGATTTTTTTTTATTTCTATAAACTTCGTTGTTAAGTGAAAAACATTGTTTTAGTACATCATCAACTTACTATAAGTCCCAACTGAGGGG